AGTGCTGTGATCCATGGAGCCAGTAGGGTAAGCTCGCTGACTTCAGGAGAGTCTTGATTGGGAAGTAGAGGGTGGAAGAGGTAAGAACTGTTCTTTAGCTGTTTTTTAAAGGCCTGGTGTTAGTAATAAGTTACAGAATTCTTAGTATGATCTGTTCAAGCTGAACCAAAACAAAATGCTGTCTTATGGTCAGTCTGTGTTTTACTAATTGTATTCGTATTTGGTGTTTGGCTTCTGAGCTTCAGGTGTGACTTTTCTTGTGGTGGAGCTTCTTTAGCACGTAATCGCCTGCAATTACTTTTGGTAACCTTGCAGGAAGGTATTTATAGAGTGAATAGACATTAATTCTGAATATATCTTGCTATCTGACATTTCTCCTTTCCCCAGGAACTCTTCTCCGTACAGCTAGATGGGGCATCCGAGTATGCTGCTTTGAGACAAAATATAAATGGCATCTACTTGTGCTGTACCTGTCTTTGGGAGTTCACTGCTGTGAAGATCAAAGTGTCTTTTTAACAGGATATTTTTGACTGATTTAAAAAGACTTAACACCTCTCTGATGAGAACAGCCCTCACTCACCCTTCTAGCCAAGACTGTCAGCCAGGAGGTGCATCTTAACAGTTTGCAAGTGTAGATTTTGGGGCATTAATTTTTATTTGTTGGGGTTTTTTGGTTAAACTGTGATTTTAATATTTATTCTGAAGTAATACTAGAGTGCTTTATCTTCTGTGTATCCAACTACTAGGTGCTTATGGAAGTCAAAACTGACTTTAATGACTTCATGTTAAGTCTGCAGCGTTTTGTCTCCAATGTATTTTTTTCTCTTGGGAAGTAGCTTGTGTGTCCCTTCGTCTGGGGTAAAAGGTTTTGAAATTTATTTTTAGTACTGGAAAAAAAGCATAGGGAACCCACTCCGTGCCCTGGAATGGTACAGCTGGAACACGTGTGCCATGTCTGTGTGGGATTGTGTTCTGGGCTGTAAGTGAAGGAAGCAAAGGGCACTGCAGATACTGCCTTTAAATGTTCATGTCTCTGATGTTAACATTTGTTTTAAAAAGGTTAATTGCAGACAATTATGTGCTAAAGGAGCTACATCACAAGAAAAGTCAATAGTACTAAGAAACTGTAACTTTGAATTAATGATAGAACTCAACAGTTATGCCAGAGCAATTTATTTAAGGAGGCAGCACATTTTTTTTTTTTTTTATTCTAAACTGCTAAAGTGTGATGTGGTGGGTTTTATTTTCCTTTTTCATAATTTCATAAAAAGGCATATTTACCACTCCACAATGAATTCTTAAAGTCAGTGAATAAAGAACCAAGTATTCTGATGGTTTAAATTTAACATGCTGTTCATTAGTGCTGAATATTTGAAAATAAAACTGTTTCTTGAATTAAGCTGTGTCTGTTGGGTGGCTTCCAGGGAGGCAAAATGCAGAGTTGTGCTTACTTTGTGTGAGAACCTCAGAGTTCTCATAGCTTCTATTTATTTTGTAATCTGTGTCTATGGGAAGAGTTGATTACACAGTTGGTACTGGTGGCTAAAATTTCATTAATGTATCTTGAAACTATGGCAAACTTGTTGGAATCTTTTTTCCCTGCTCTCCAGCCCAGTGTCCTGGGAGTTCATAAAACTGTTCAGTCAACACTCAGCCTTTATCCCGTTTGGATAAATCCCCTAGCTGGGATCCATCTCAAAACTTCTGAGAAATAGTGCAGTTTTTTCTTGATAAGCTAGCTAAACCTTTAAAGGTTTCATATTTGAATGAACAGGCACAAACTTGAATATAAGAAGTTCCACCTAAACATGAGGAGGAACTTCTTTGCTGTGAGGGTGGCAGAGCCCTGGCAGAGGCTGCCCAGGGAGGTGGTGGAGTCTCCTTCTCTGGAGACATTCAAACCCAGCTGGACACGTTCCTGTGGGACCTGCTCTGGGTGGACCTGCTTTGGCAGGGGGTTGGTTGGACTAGATGATCTCCAGAGGTCCCTCCCAACCCCGTATCATTCTGTCATTCTTTGATATTGAAACTCTGTGGTTTTGGTTTGGGGTTTTTTGGGTTTGTTGTTTTTTTTTGGTTGGTTGGTTGGTTGTTATTTTAAGTTAAATACATGAAAAATAAGCAGTCTGCTATGGCCAGTCTCCTGTCCCTCCTGACTCCACTCTTATTTTAGATGGGTGCTGTATAGTTCTAAAAATGCCCTGATTAGAACAAAAAAACCCCACCCCAATCAAACAAACAAACAAAGAAACCCAACCTCCATAAAAAGCGAAGAGAATGAAGAATAAAAAGAAAATCAAACTGGCTGGCCCAAAGCCTCTGGGGTTTTTTTTGTTGCTCAGTTCCTGGTGTTACGCTGCTTGAAAGCTCTAGAAAAGGCTTGGTGGACTAAGCTGATCTCATGAATTTTATACCTTGGGTCCTGTTAGGATTATGGAGTTGAGTCACTATTGATAAATGTCAGCATAAAGCAGCAGAGAATCAAGGCAGTCGAGCTGGTCATGACCTTATTTGCATAGTGATAATTAATAGCTTATGAGACTAGTAAAACACGGTTCTGAAATTCAGTAGGCTGCATCATCTGGACTGTTTAGAAGTTAAAATTTTGAATTGAACTCTGAAAAGGAATTAAAGACATCTTTTGCCATCATGTGCAAAAAGATAACCTCCTCCACTAAAGGGCATGTGCCATATATGTCACTGAAATATATGTCATCCTCAATGCAGTTATGCTACAGAATAAGAATTATTCATGAATTTGAGGTCAGAGGGTAGGAACGCATGGGTTAGACGAATATAATACCTGATTTTAATCCCTACTTTAAATAAGGGCTGCTGTTTTTAATTTTATGGAGGGGCCTGCCTTGTTACTTTTTTTCCTGGCATCATCTCTTCCCCTCACACAGCAGTAAGCTTGACATGAGATTCTCCAGAGCCTCTTCTCCTGGACTATTCTGTGTTCTGGAAGAAATACAAAAGTATACCAAAGCAAACAAGTGAAATTATTACAAAATATTCTTAAATTACTTTAGTATGGAGTTTTTTTTCAATATTTGCCCTTTTCCTTATGTCAGCTACTGCTGACCTTCTCTGAGGTTAGTCAGTCTAGGAGAATTCTCCATTCTCTTCTTCGCTTCTGTTAACTGGAGAAGAGCAGAGTTTTGACTAAATTCAGCTCACCCGAGTCAGGCAATTTGTTCCACAGATCTCATGAGGACCGAGTCAAACGCAGCTTTTGACTCGTGGCTGAAGGTTGCCTTGTTTTTGTTGGCTTGCGTAGCCCATGGATTGCAAAGAGCAGCCGCCCTCCGAAGATAAAGCTGAAAAGTTTTATGTTTGTGAAGCAGACGGTGCGAGCCGAGATTTACTCGCGAGAGAAATATTTGTTTAATCCATCAAGAGCACCTTTATGTATTTTCCTTTTTTTTTTTCTGGTGTTTGCCAAAGGGAAGGAGAAGAGAAGAAGAAAGAATTGATGCTGTTCTAGGAAAAGGCCGTGCTCATTAATGCAGGGCTTACGCTTTTTGAAAGAAAGATCTGAGGAAGAAGGCCCTGGAACAGCCTGCCCAGGGAGGTGGTGGAGTCACCATCCCTGGAGGGCTTTAAGAAATGTGTAGAGGTGGCCCTTCAGGGCATGCTCTAGTGCCTGAGATTGTGGGGGTCTTTTGTGTGTGTGTGTCAGGTTGGACTCGTTGATCTCAGAGGTCCCTTCCAACCATGACAATTCTGTGATTCTGTGAACTGTACTTCCCAGCTTCTGCTGAAGCAGCTTTCGGGTTTCAAAGAGAAGTGGTGGCCAGTTCCCATGCAGCTCTTTCAAAATCTTTGAACAGAGTCAGAACGTGATATTTTTATAAGTTTTACCGATGGTGGGGAGTTTTGCAGAACCTGCTGCGTTCTTCTAAAATCATGTGGAAGAGAAACATGTCCCACTGTGCTTTGCCCGATTCCTCGTAGCTTAGCTTGAGCTGTAAGCTGATCTGCTGGTGGACTCTCATACCCCTCGTCAAGTGTAGTAACCCCAGAGAAGAGGAGCTATGTATTTAATTCATTTGAAAACACCGAAATCACAGCTTTAATTTCAAAACTCAGTTCAGCTTTATCTGTTGGAACAGTGGTAGTGCTTTCACCTGTCATCTGAGCTGCTGCTTAGAATTCCACAAATTGTGCAAAATGGAAAGCTGTATTTTTTGTGTGCATTTGTGGTTTTTTTTTTTCCCCAAAAATATTCTTAAACTGTTCTTTCTATAGCTCAATTGAAGTTTCCATCACGAGTTTGGTAAGAATTTATGCACTAAATATTTTTAAGCAATTAATCTGCAATTAAAAAACAAGAAGCAAGTTGAGATAAATATCACAATATTACCATTTCTAGGTGCTTTGCTGCAATATTACTCTGCAAATGACAGCTGGGATTTGAAATCAAGTTCACCCACATTGTGTACATCCATTGAGCATTTGGCTTCCGTATTTTGGGGGGAGTATTTTTAATAATCAAGGAGAAAAGCAGAAATGGGATGACATCAGTAAGAACTAAAATACCCATCTTTGGAACATTTGTGGCATAGCAGCTGTTCAAGAAGCATCATCATCATCTTCTGACAAACAATATCCTCTGAAGCTTGATGTACAGTGCTCAGATATAGTTTTTTTTTTTCAAATACTTTGCTGACTAAATGATACATTTGAAAGGTGTTTGAAGGTTGTCTTTCTGGAATATGCAGGTTTGAGTCTTGCCTTCCTGACCCAGGGAGATGTAGAAGTATCTGAGCAACATGTAGCTCCCTCTGCACAGAAGGGACACCAGATTTTTACACAGTTCATCTGTTACCTTATTTTGCATCACCTGATGTCAACTCTTGTTTTTAACATGCTTTTAACTAACTCCTATTCCCTTGAGGGATTAATGCTTGCACCCCTTAGTGCTCTTGAGAAAATAAATATTAAATGTAGTAAGATGGATTAATTTTTCATCTCACTGCTCGTTGCTTTCCTTTCAGCTTCTTGCCCGATTACATCTCTGGTGATTTTGATTCCATTCGGCCTGAAGTCAAGGAGTACTACAAGGTCAAGGTAAATTAAATCTCTTCCATGGGTTTGTGTGTGTTGGAGCGTTGTAGGATCCAACCCATTAGTGCCCCCCTTGGTCATTAAGTGATTCTGGCTCCATTGGTTTCCTTGAGGCTTCAGTTGTGAAGTGCCTTCCAAGCTCTGCCTGGCGCTGCACTAATGCTTAAAGCAAACAGAACTGCCCGACTCCCACATAACCTGACGTTTTGTAGCCCCAGCTCAAGAAATCTGTCAGTCTGGTTTTGGTAAATTCAGCTGAAACCATGACAGATAGCAACTAGAAACTAGGATAAAACTTCTTGAAAAATTTTGCTATGACTTCCGCTGAGCGAAACACAGAGCGATAAAGATTTAACCTCCTGTGATTCCCACGTGGCTGGCACCCACAGGTTTGCTAGAGAGAGTTTCTCTCTGTGATTTTTGCAGGGTACGACTTCAACTTTTTTTAGCAGGGAGCTGCAGATGGAGACGACTGTCTCTTTCATCACCCACTGAAGCACTGAATTACGCTCCGACTACTTCTGTGCTTCGCTAAAGGAGTGCCCTCCTCAATGGGTTTTTTGGACAAATCCCTGCATACGTTAAATTTGTTCCCAGTGTAGCCACCGTGCTTCCAGCGAGCAACATAATTGTCAACTCACATTTCATATGTCTTAGGGCTTAAAATTCTGCTCTTTAGGTGACCGTTTGGCATTTAACACTTCACCTGCCTGCCTGTGTAGGCTTTTTGTGCTTTACACATAAATCTTGGACAGCAGGTTTCTGTAAATTCAGAGTTTGCCTTGTTGTGCCAGCTTGCCTTTGCAGCAGGCTGCACTTGCAAGAGCAGTAAATGTTTGATCCCTGTGAGACCTAGAGGTCTCCGATACGTCTGCTGCTAATTCAATGCGTGTGAGGCCAAAATTTGCCTAAAATCTTCCCTGGTTAGGACAAAAGGTTTAAAATGGTGAGGGGAGGGCTGCAGGAGAGTATAGGGCTGGGTTTCAGTCCTTCGCTGAGTGCTGAGGAGGGGTTTCCATATCCTGCTTCGTTGTTCAGAAGGGAGAAGTGTGTGATGGCGATGGAGAAGTGTCCATCTTGGGAGAACCGCTCAAGTAAAATGCTCGGGAATCTTTAGGTTACAGCTTAGGGAGTGAAAATAAAATCATAGAATTGTCTAGGTTGGGAGGAACCTTTAAGATCATCTAGTCCAACTATCAACCTAACCCTGAAAATAAAAAACAACAAAAAAAACCCTCAAAAAATAAAACCAAAACACACCCACATGACTAAACCATGTCTCTAAGCACTATTGTCAGCCCGTCTTTTAAATACCTCCAGGGATGGTGCATAAACGTGCTTTATAGCTCCCTTAAGTTTTACATTTACAAGAGTGACAAAGCGATCTCTCTCTTTTTTTTTTTTCTTTTTGTTTTTATTTTAATGAAAGCTACTCATATTGATAGAACATGACTTTTGGTCTATCTGGAGATAGCACACCACTTGTTAAGAAGAGTTACTTTTTCATAGCAAAGCTTATGGATGTTAATGATTGAGTTATAAAAAATCCCCATTTACGAGTGTTTGTGTCAAACAGCCTAGGGTAGTGCTGAGTAAGAAGGGGGAGTATGTGTGTGAAACTAATTATGGTTCAGTAAAGCATGGTCTATAAGGAGTTGTATCATTGTCACAAAACAACAACAACTACTCCTCCATCACACCAGCTTCATGCCAGGGTGTTGCTACTGAACTCAGAGGTTTTCTACCTCATTTCAGTGGTGAAAGCAAGAGTAGATACATGCCATTAAATGGCATACAGATTGCTGAAGCCAAAGGGGTTTACTGGAAGGGATATCTTTAAGCCAATTCCTCTAATGTTTTTAATGGAGCAAGGATTACATAACAAATGCTGCTGTTTTCCCTTAAGGAGGATTCTCGCCATCATGTTGGGGAACCTTACTTAAATAAGTTCATAGGCGTGAAGCAAATAAATCATAGAATCATAGAATCATTCAGGTTGGAAGAGACCCTTGGGATCCTCCAGTCCAACCATCAACCCCACTCTACAAAGTTCTCCCCTACACCATATCCCCCAACACCGCATCTAAACGGCTCTTGAACACATCCAGGGATGGGGACTCAACCCCCTCCCTGGGCAGCCTGTTCCAGTGTCCAGTGACCACTCTTTCCATTATCCTAATCCGTTTTATTCCATTCCTAATCCATTTTATCTCCGTTAGATGTGGCACGCCATGGTTAGGGAAGAGATCTAAAGGCAAAAGGACTGTTTTTTCAGTTGTGTTGGAAAGTAATCCTGGAACGGGCTTCTGAGTGGGATGTGTAAGTGACGGGTTAGGCACATGATGCTCTTGTAGATAACAAGCAAGCACGTGTCATAGGTTATTCAGCTTTACTTGTTATTTGCTGCAGTCTTGGTTTTGCCTCATTGGCTTGTCAAGTAGGTACTTGGGAGTCCTTTGTTCTTTAAATTAAAAAAATTACTAATGATTTCTCCCATTTCTTAAAAAGCTAAATAACATTAAAACTGGATAAAACCGCAGCACGACTGGGAATGGAACCTCATGTTCAAATTTTCCTTTTAAAAACATATTGCGCAATAAACAAAGGGTAAAGAATAACAATTCAATGTTCTTTATTCTGTATATTTTCTGTCATTGTTAAAATGGATATCGAGAAGAGTTTCTGTACTTTGAGGATAAATATGCAGTGTTCGTATGATCCCATAATAGATGCGGTGTCAGCCTTCCTCTGTGGAGCCTGGAGTGACACTGGGAGGGCTTGTGGTGATATTTCTGTCAGTGCAGTTGCATCCGGCTCTTGTTTTAACTCAAAGTTTCTATTATTGAAATCTTTTGAATATTACTTTGAACTTAAAGCAGCCATTTGTATTGTTATGCCTCAAACAAGGCTCGGTTTCTGAAGTTTTGAGACCAAAGACGTTATAATCTAAAATGATACCAAGTCTGTACTTGTGCCTGGAAGCAGAAGGTGGAATCCAGTGCCTTTTGAAATCCTGATTGTGCTATTTATTAAAAATCCGGTTGGGCTTCTCCACTAAGTAAACTTCATGGGCTTTGAAAGGCTTCTGTAGACTTAGTAGGCTCTGCTTCAGATCTGTAATTAAATGCTATGAGCTTATTTACAAGTCCGCTGCTTTCTCCTATTCTCTTTTCTTTTTAAACCCCATAGAGCTGCTCATTTTCACAGGCAGTTCTGCAGCTGTAGCACTTTCCCTTTCCTTCTTCTATTACATTTCCAGGGTTTAATGGTTATCGGGGCTGTAGAAATGCTTAATAGTATGGTGTGGGTATTGTCTTTTTGCTCTATGGTGATGCAGCTATAATTAGATTTACAAAGTGTATTTGTAGTAGTGAAGTAGAGCTTGTATATCTCTAACTTCTAAACTTTCTTGCTAAACTGCATGCTTGAGGCTCGTGTTCCCTGCTTGCTTTCTGAGGCCAGAATTTGGGAAGTCACAATGTTAACTGGTTTCCCTCAGGTATATTATATTTTAAACACGTACAACAAACCATTGAGTTTTCCTGTGACTATTTTAATTTGCCTTTTATCCCTACATGTTAGTATTTTTCCTAAACCTATCTTTTAATACAGGATGAGACGGTAAATATTAAGAAGTTTGACTCATTTAAAGCATTCTTGTTAGGACTGCACATTTTTTCTAAGAAAACTCAGTTCATTTTAGGGCCTGATTCCTTTATGAGAGCTTTTAAGGTTTCAGAAGGAGCTGCAAAAGTTGTGCGGGTGGATCTGAAACAGTCCAGTCTTGCAGATGAACAGGCTGCTCCTACTTGACAATCACCACTTAAACTTTCAGGCAATCCCTTGTTTTATGTGTCCTGCTGAAGATGTCTCTGACAACTGTAAAAAGCCCTGTGCCTACCTCAGTTCAGCTTCTGACGTGTCGAGGGTGCCCAGTGCCACCTGCACTTAGAATCATAGAATTGTCCAGGCTGGAAGGGACCTTTCAGATCATCCAGTCCAACCATCAACCTCACTCTGATAAAACCCATCACTAACCCATGTCTCTAAGCACTATGGCAACCCGGCTTTTAAATCCCTCCAGGGATGGGGCCTCAACCCCTTTGCTGGGCAGCCCATACCAAGACTGAAAAACACAGTACAGTGTCAACATTTTCCCTAATCACCAATCTGAACCTCCCCTGGTGCAACTTGGGGCCATTTCCTCTTGTCCCATCGCCTGTTCCTTGGGAGAAGAGACCGACCCCCCCTGGCTACACCCTCCTTTCAGGGAGTTGGAGAGAGCCAGAAGGTCTCCCCTCAGCCTCCTTTTCTCCAGGCTCAACACCCCCAGCTCCCTCAGCCTCTCCTCACAAGACTTCTTCTCCAGACCCCTCACCAGCTCCGTTGCCCTTCTCTGGACTCGCTCCAGCCCCTCAAGGTCTTTTTTGTGCAAAGGGGCCCAAAACTGGCATTTTTTTTCTACTGATGCTCATTCATTGAAAGAGCCTCAGCGTCTTAATATAGATAGAGGTTCACCAAGTTAAAATGATTTATAGTTAATAGTTCAAACTGTATATGCCTCTATATGCCATTTAGGATTTTGGACTGGAAACTTTCTGTATTTCTTTGTTGTGTGATTACTCAAGGGGAACTTTCATAAGACGGTTCCATTTGTGGAACAGTGTGTCAGAGATCAGAGATCTTGTCAAGATCATGTTTCCAAGTGAGTTGTGCGGGTGATTCAGGTTACGTGCATTTCTTATTCATGCCAAATGAAATAATATTCCAGAAATGCCAGAAATTTGTAAGAGGTACTGTGCTCGGTGGCACTTTTCTGAAGGTAGGCATGACAGACTGTCCTACTGGGTCGGACTGGGTTCATTTGGCCGGTGTCTGGTCTCCACTAGGCTGGTGCAGAATACCTTTGGAAGCATATTCGTGCACAGCGATGCTTCTTAGATGTGCTTTTTCATCTCCCAGTAATATAATAATGCTTAAAGATTCCCTAAGTCAGAGGTGGT